AGCCAGTTTGAAGAGAACTCTTATGTGGATACGATATCTTGAGTACTGAGTGGGCGCCTGTCGCCAATTTGCTGTTTCGCTGTTTGCATACATGATAAGTTGAATAATCGTAGTGTGATTGCATGGTGATGAAGTGCCGAATGACTTCCCGGGTGGAAATCTACAGCAGCGCCACATCTCCTGACAAGATGATCTCTGAGGAAGAAGCTGCAGCTATGGCTGCAGCGCCACACACCCTGTAACCCTACTCCTGAGGAGGTTTCAGCAGGGCACCAACTTCTCCTGCCTCCAGCAGACCTCGAATAGCCCGAACCTCTGTACAGCCCCACGTGCTGTCAGAGTACAGCGCAGGTCCCAGCTATGGCCGGCGCTCCAAAGGTCCGTCTATGTCCGTCTTCACCAACGCGGAAGCTGTTGCCACTCCCAGCTCATGCGTTGCACAGCAGTGATGTACTCGATACCGACTGCCAAGAGCCCTGAACCGATTCCTACCTTCTATCCATACTCTACCCTAGCCTAGACACGACCTAGACCGGACTGGTAGGACTGACCCGTACCGTTTCAGTTTCGGCCTCTAGGGCCTCTCCCTACCCGGCTATAGGCTATAGGACCGTCTATAAGCTTAGGCCCATAGGGGCTGTCTGTTCTAGGGGTAGCCCGGGCCTGCTATTCGCAGATAGGGTAGCTGTAGGAAATTCTAGTTAGTACGGGTCTATATTTTCCCGAATTTGCAGATATGTCCCTCTCGAATTTTCCTTACAGGCAGATCTCTCGGTTAGCCCTCAGCCAAACAAAATTACGAATCTGACCTACCTGTAGTACAGCCTCGACTCAACGGGCTACAGACCACCAGAACCAGCAAGTCATTGCATATGTCACAGCCCCTCGTTTGTTGTCCTCTTCTCTCTCTCTGCCTACGGTTTACCAGGCAGTTCTGTTTGTGATGATATATATATATATATATATATATATATGGTTCAGCCTCCTGATGAGTCGGTGAAACTCCGACGAAACAGTTTGTCACAGCCCCTCATTTGTTGTCCTCTTCTCCCTCTCTGCCTACAGTTTACCGGGCAGTTCTATTTGACGATATATATATATATATACAGCCTCCTGATGAGTCGGTGAAACTCCGACGAAACAGTTTGTCACAGCCCCTCGTTTGTTGTCCTCTTCTCCCTCTCTGCCTACGGTTTACCGCGCAGTTCT